TTATAATTTTATTACTAGCATTTATTGATAACCTGACTATCTAAAGTCAAAAGTTATCTTTAAACGCGTTAAAATTTACTTTGATACATTCTATAGAAACAAAATTGTTAGATTAAATTAGTTTTGATCGATTTTTTTTATTAAAATAATTTTTTTCCACGTAAAAATGTGGAATTTACCTTTTGAGCGAGAGTTGATTTCTGTTCCGGTGTACCATATTCAAAGAATTTCTGAATGACATAATTTCCAAAGACGTCCGTCATGAGGGAATATGCAGAGGAGAGGATTTCTTGAAATACGAGTTGTTTTTCATTGGCCGAGGCTCGCTCCAATTTCTGCTGAATAAATCGTGAGCCATGCTGATCTTGACTGAATTCAACTATATGATTAGCTAAATCACGTAATTGAAGACTCGGAAACCTGGAAAGAAAGAAGTACGTTTAAGTTATTAGCGCATTGTTCAGCTGATATTGCATTATGATAATGCTACTTGATAGCCACATCAAAAGAAAAAAAAATTATGTAATTTATTTATTTCTTATAATATTACATTGAATCATTTCGCATGCGACAATATTCGATAAAATTTGAAACACATATCGTAAACTTTATTACTTTTCTAGATAAATAGCTACATACATATATTCAAATCAAGTGTCATGAGTCTATTTTTGCTAAGAAGAGAAGATGTAATAAACTATTTAAAAGAGGTTAACCAAAAATGTCTCTTCGATATAATTTTATCAATCTATTTTATCAATCATAAACTATGACATTCGACAAACTAATGTATTTCGATGTATAATAAAAAAAAAAAAAATGGTGATGGTTATTGGTCGTTGATATAATTTAATAAAAGAAGACCTTAAGAGATATAAATTTTACTAACCGATTATTTCGAAAATCTTCCAATAGTCGAGACCGTCCTCCGGGATTCTTATCGCTGATATTAGCGGCACCTCCGCGACCAGGTTTGCCCACGAGGTTGGGAAACAGAGAGCTACTAGAACCAAACACTCCGTTGGCTGTCAGAGCCGGAACCGCGCTAGCACGAAATTTGGCTTCGGCACCAGGAGCCGCTGATACTCGACTGGCTCCTCCGACAAGACCACCTAAGGATCCGCCTAAGGTCGGTGGCGGTGTTAATGACAATCCTAGAGGACTCGGTGACGCAGTAACTGTACCTGCGTAAATCAAATATATATATTAGAAAAACAAATTATCAAGCACAAAATAAAAATATTTGACGAATTTAAACGTTTGTTTAATAATATAAATCTTGAAATTATATAAAATCACATATTACGAAAATACTTAGGTTGTACTTGGGTATACTTTATCTAGGTACATTGTGTTTCAAGTACCTGTATCTACAGAATTAAGAGAATACACTTCTTATTTCGCTGATAGGACGAATAATGCTCTGTACAAATTTTGTTTTTTTAATAGAAGCAATGTACAATGTATAAAGGCTAAATCTAGTCGCACAGCGTGTTATGTTAAAATGTTATATGAATTACAATGGCATGAACTTGATCGCTCTAAACCGGACATCCTTGCTGGCGCGCTTATTCACTTCCGTCTCGAGCATCAGGAAGCACAAAATAAAAATATTTGACGAATTTAAACGTTTGTTTAATAATATAAATCTTGAAATTATATAAAATCACATATTACGAAAATACTTAGGTTGTACTTGGGTATACTTTATCTAGGTACATTGTGTTTCAAGTACCTGTATCTACAGAATTAAGAGAATACACTTCTTATTTCGCTGATAGGACGAATAATGCTCTGTACAAATTTTGTTTTTTTAATAGAAGCAATGTACAATGTATAAAGGCTAAATCTAGTCGCACAGCGTGTTATGTTAAAATGTTATATGAATTACAATGGCATGGACTGATCGCTCTAAACCGGACATCCTTGCTGGCGCGCTTATTCACTTCCGTCTCGAGCATCAGGACGCAACATAATTCATAACGTCGGGATCAATTTTAGAGAGTAGAGTAGTGTTGTTACCATAGCCGAGTTATGTATACAAAAGCACGTGTACAAATGAAAATTACGATATATTATAGACACAATGTACAACATAGGTAAAATCGAGCGTCTATGGCGATTCCGAGATGTCTCACAGCTGTGTATAGGCATCTAAAGCGGTCACAATCCTCGAAAATATCTTCGTTGCTGTCACATTATACGAAAGAAAACGATAATGAAAGTCTTTTATTTTAACAAAAGAAATTCAATAAAGTAAAGATAATTTTTTTTTTTTTTTCAATTCTCGTTATCGTTACTTATCCATATATTTTTCATGTGTGCAACGAGAATATTCGCAAGCTTATCACTTTAGATGCCCCACATCCTGTATATCAGAATACATTTCACACACAACAAAGCGATCCTTACCGAGGGCGCCGTAACTCTGAGGCCACTTCGCCCGGCTATATTCCAAGCTTGGACTGAAGGCTGAAGTATTTCTATCAAAGGAATCTCGTCTGCCGGTCGAAGACGCACCGAGGCCTAAACCTGCACACAAGACGGACACCGTCATCTTAACACGAGGTGCTCGAGGTCGACCGATATCGAGCATGTTAAAAGACGTGACGATATCGAAAGGATTACGATAATCAACAAATCGGCACAAACGCTCTACTGAGAAAGGCGCGTGACTGAGAGAGGGTTGATTATGTTTAACACGAAAATACAAATCAATCAGGTTATATGAAGCATGCAAGAACAGGTTGTTTTGTTTTTTTGTATATGAAAATCCGTACACACACCACCAATGTAGAGAGCCGAAAGGAATTCTCTGGTCCCAGGAAAAAAGCGCTTGAGTTGAAAAAAAACTTAGAATATTTCAAATTTCTTATTTTTAATATTGTAATAAATTATATATATATATACGAATTTCTCTCTTTCTCTTCGTACAGATCTTTACACAGATCCTACCATATATATTCTGCAACTATCGACAAATAATTACAATATATGCAGCGACCCAAATTTTTCTACCTTTTCTGTCTTTCTCTTGACCACTTAATATGCATACTTGTTTTTCATACAAGCGCATACTTACTTTGCATTTCTTGAAAAATGGCCCGTGACTTTGAAAGTTATCGATGTTACACTGATTATATATACAAAATTTTTTAAGTTGACAAAGTTTACTTCCAATCCATAATAAAAAAAAATAAAAAAAAAATGAAAATTATGTGATACATAAACCGGACATCCTTGCTGGCGCGCTTATTCACTTCCGTCTCGAGCATCAGGACGCAACATAATTCATAACGTCGGGATCAATTTTAGAGAGTAGAGTAGTGTTGTTACCATAGCCGAGTTATGTATACAAAAGCACGTGTACAAATGAAAATTACGATATATTATAGACACAATGTACAACATAGGTAAAATCGAGCGTCTATGGCGATTCCGAGATGTCTCACAGCTGTGTATAGGCATCTAAAGCGGTCACAATCCTCGAAAATATCTTCGTTGCTGTCACATTATACGAAAGAAAACGATAATGAAAGTCTTTTATTTTAACAAAAGAAATTCAATAAAGTAAAGATAATTTTTTTTTTTTTTTCAATTCTCGTTATCGTTACTTATCCATATATTTTTCATGTGTGCAACGAGAATATTCGCAAGCTTATCACTTTAGATGCCCCACATCCTGTATATCAGAATACATTTCACACACAACAAAGCGATCCTTACCGAGGGCGCCGTAACTCTGAGGCCACTTCGCCCGGCTATATTCCAAGCTTGGACTGAAGGCTGAAGTATTTCTATCAAAGGAATCTCGTCTGCCGGTCGAAGACGCACCGAGGCCTAAACCTGCACACAAGACGGACACCGTCATCTTAACACGAGGTGCTCGAGGTCGACCGATATCGAGCATGTTAAAAGACGTGACGATATCGAAAGGATTACGATAATCAACAAATCGGCACAAACGCTCTACTGAGAAAGGCGCGTGACTGAGAGAGGGTTGATTATGTTTAACACGAAAATACAAATCAATCAGGTTATATGAAGCATGCAAGAACAGGTTGTTTTGTTTTTTTGTATATGAAAATCCGTACACACACCACCAATGTAGAGAGCCGAAAGGAATTCTCTGGTCCCAGGAAAAAAGCGCTTGAGTTGAAAAAAAACTTAGAATATTTCAAATTTCTTATTTTTAATATTGTAATAAATTATATATATATATACGAATTTCTCTCTTTCTCTTCGTACAGATCTTTACACAGATCCTACCATATATATTCTGCAACTATCGACAAATAATTACAATATATGCAGCGACCCAAATTTTTCTACCTTTTCTGTCTTTCTCTTGACCACTTAATATGCATACTTGTTTTTCATACAAGCGCATACTTACTTTGCATTTCTTGAAAAATGGCCCGTGACTTTGAAAGTTATCGATGTTACACTGATTATATATACAAAATTTTTTAAGTTGACAAAGTTTACTTCCAATCCATAATAAAAAAAAATAAAAAAAAATGAAAATTATGTGATACAAACTTACGGGAAGCTTCGTTACATGCGATCTCTATTTTTTTTTTTAAATATACAGGCTTGGATTGAGATAGATCGATGAAAGGAGAATCGCGCGCTCTAAGGGACCGGAGAAGATCGTCGGCTTCCTAGAGGATAAGAGAGGATTCTCCGAGGGCACACGAGGACAATACGCCCGAGGAAGATGTTGACGATGATATACCTGTATTCTGTAGTTGGGCAGGTGAGCCCAGTGCCCCGAGCGGGGAACCGCCGTATCCTAGGGCCGCTAAACCCGCGGCAAGTCCCGAGCCTTGCTGCTGCGCCTGTTGCACCGCAACCGCCTGGGCTTGCGCGACCACTGCCGCTGCGCTGCACGCTGCCAGACCTGCACCAAAAGCCCGCGAAACCCACACGCGCTCTCTTAGTCGTCGTAAGTGTGATTAGCGTATGTTATACCGAACCTTACACCGTCTACGCAGTGAGAAGCCTAGAGGTAAAATACACATCACGCCGCTTGCGATCGCATGTGTAGATAGGACAACAGATTACCCTCCGAATCCGGAAAAATAAAATTTCGGCGATCGTTCGCGTGTGAAACGTTTCGACTTTCATATCAGGATCATGATTATATCGCGGGTTGTATTTCCGAGAAAAGGATTATGTAATCGCGAGGGAAATTATTAGCTATTCACAATCTCTAGTGATAAGAAGTTTTGTGATTTCATATTATAATCTCTTTTCTGATAATACGTAGAAAATTTAAAAGCAGGGAGAAAAAAGTAAAGTAAATATATGTTCCCAGTTTATACGGCAATAAATTTTTCGGATAAAGTTCCGAATAGGTGAACCCTCCGATTTTTTTGAAACTACACTATTTTTTGTATTTTTTAACGCTGATTACAAATGTGATAATGAAAATTTGCGACAAGGTCATTTTCAAGGTCAAAACTCAAAAAAACTGAAAAAATATAACTTTTTAGACATTATTTTAATAAATATTGATGTAACAAAAAAATGTTTCAAATAAAGGTTGCAGTTCTTAAAAAAATACATTATTTATGTTCTATAAATTTTTTGCGTGAAACTGAAAGTTTTCGAGAAAATCGATGTTAAAGACTAAAAACGGCGGGTGAAGTTCCGAAAAACTAGACAAATAGGTTTGCGTGGAACCTCGCTCTGCGTGGAAAGTTGTAAACCCATGTGGAATCGTATATGTACTGCAAAGTACATGCTTAGATGGGAGAACAGATATAAGATTTAGATTCCATCGTTTTTGTTGAAAACTATCGTACGGTAAAAATTAATAGGACATAAAATGTTTTTCTCTGTAAGATCTAAAATTGTTATGGGTTTTTCATGATTTTCACTATGAAAATAAGAGATGCACCAATTTTCATTATGATATTCGTAATCAGTGCATCAAAATACGTAAGAATACTGAGTTTCAAAAAAAATCAGAGGTGAGCACTGTTCGGAACTTCACCCGCCGTTTTTAGTCTTTAACATCGATTTTCTCGAAAACTTTCAGTTTCACGCAAAAAATTTATAGAACATAAATAATGTATTTTTTTAAGAACTGCAACCTTTATTTGAAACATTTTTTTGTTACATCAATATTTATTGAAATAATGTCTAAAAAGTTATATTTTTTCAGTTTTTTTTTGTTTTGACCTTGAAAATGACCTTGTCGCAAATTTTCATTATCATATTCGTAATCAGCGTTCAAAAATACAAAAAATAGTGTAGTTTCAAAAAAATCGGAGGGTTCACCTATTCGGAACTCCACCCAATTTTTCTCTCATATTAATAATTACCATTTTTCTTTCTCTAAAAATTTAGAATTTATCTTTTTTATATGACTATAGCTGACTTAAATTATAAAATATATGATATGAATTCTCCAGTTTCCACATATTCATTTTTTATCGCAGTTAGAGTAAAAAGTTGCAACAATCCACTAAATGTTTAATTCATAAACATTCTTTCATTTCACAAACTTTAAATTTTTAAAATTCGACGCTACTATATGTGACGACCAATGACAATAGTATCTCTATTATTACGCAAAATAATCTTTTGTTCGAAAGGTTCATCAGGTATCGTTGTCCTATACACCCATTTACGACACGTGAGCCGTCTTATCAATGGCTTCCTCTTTTCTCTTCTTTTAATCACAATATACAGTGGAGTGTGTTTCGCGCATATTTACAGGAAACAGACGAGTTAATCGTAAAGAGGAAAACGATCAAACGTTGACACTGGTTATTATCATAATCGGACAACGTTCTTGTCATAGCACACGGTCATGCATTTACACACGTATTACACGACGAGGAAAGGACAGAGAGAGAGATATATCTTTACAAAATGTTACATACACGATTTTACAAGGTTTCTTACAAGTATGTTTATACAAGGAGAACAGTAGTAGTACCAGAAACTAAGAGATTCCCGTTAGGCTCACCTAGACATTCGCCGGGTGTGGCGTTGCTGTGAGATGTCGGGGTCGGCTGGGAATATAGGTTCGGTGGTGGCGGTGCCGGTGGACCCGGTGGAGGCTGAGACGGGGCTCTGTTCACGAGAACTGGCGCGGGGCTAACTAATCTCATGGGAGTCGCCGCTGAACTCAGACCGCGAACGCCTCCCATGACGATGGAACCGTTTTGATCGTAGTAAGCCGGTATCACCTGATACTGACCTTGAACCTGTAAAATAATTTATTGCATTACGTTAATTAATTATATTGCAGAAACATATTATTAAGAGTATTGATAATATAATCTCGGAACAATTATTCTTAAAATTGAAAATAGTAAATTAAAAGAAAGTAGAAAAAAAATTTGATTAAAGCTACTCCTTGCGGTTTTTATAAAAACTGAATTACATTGTATCGAAACTTTTACTTTCAAACGTAAAGGATTTTTTTGTAACTTTCCGAAAAAAATATTAAAATCTTGGGCAGATCTGAACGTTTGCACAATTTTCAGTTTAAGTAGCTCAGATTCCTGTTTGAATTACATTTAATTATGTTTGTATTGCACTGCACATAAATATACAATAGACGTGAACTCGCCAAATTGAACGTTTAATTTTATAAATCGAGAACAGATCTCCCGGTATCTCGCACACACTCCCACGTTTTCCTTCACTTGTCACTGCAGCGAAACATTTGGCTACAATTGAGGAGAGCAATGTGGCGGCTTCTAATTGGCACAATAAGCGCTTCTCATGGTACGTCAAGCACAGAGAAAACAGGTATCATCGGTTATTCGCGACACAGAGGCGGCAACACAAGAGAGAAAATAGCTATTACAGGATTAGAAACACCTAATTCGCAGTACGCGCTAATTCCTAAACACTCAATCTTACCCCGTCTAAATTTAACCCCTTCATTTAATGGTCATGGTTCATCGCGATACTCTCGTGCGGCTCGATTTATTTGAAAGCACGTGCACCGAGCGAGCATGTCATCCCAGGGATTCATTATCGTGTTTTTATTTTAAAAAAGGGAGATGATTTCTCATTAAAAATCTTGCCAAAAATTGTGAAATTTTCATTCTTCGAATTTGTAAAGATATATATATATCCTAGATAATTTTTAACTCACATCAATGTTCTTCGCGAAGTCTAGATTTTACAATAATAATTTCTTTATAACGCGATGTGGTGCAGAGGCAGTGGGAGCATATCCTTTTTATATTTTTACAGTTTTTCAAATATAATTTATAAATATTGGGACTCCTTTTTTCCCATCTTCTCTCCGCGCAGATTTATAATTATCTCTGGCAGCGCTTATAATTAGCTCACCGTTTGTGCCAGATTATTCGCGGTGTCCTGTGCGGCAGCGGCCGCGGCCGCCGCCGAGGAGGGGGTGAGCGGTCGCCGGGGTGGCGGTGGTGCGGCCGCTTGGGGTGGCGCCTGCGGGAGCAGACCGGCCGGATAGACCCAGGGCCCGACCCCATAGTACTGCGGTACGACTGGCGGCGGTGCGCCGGCTATCAATGCCCCTACGTAAGGTTCCTGACCGCTGATAACGGTATACGGGGCCGTGGGGAAATTCTGCTGCTGCTGTTGTTGCTGCTGCTGTTGCGCCTGGGACGCGGCCAGGTACTGCTGCTGCTGCTGTTGCTGCTGCTGCTGAAGTAATTGCAGTTGTTGCGGTGTCGCGCCTTGCGGTTGACTGCGAAACAGTTGCTGAAAGAAGAATGAAAGGAAGATGAGTATATGACGTGGGAAGATTTCTTTATTGATAATGTGAATAATATTGTCCCCAGATAATTCTTTGGATAATTAGAGATAATAAAAAAATTAAATTAAATTAAAATAAAATAAAATAAAATTGATAAATATTGATATTTAATAAAATAAACAGCTTGATTATTTTTTAACTATATTTTTCATTAAAAAAATTAATTTGCAATGATTTCAAACAGTACTATTTGACGATATCTTGGCAATGATTTCGAGACTCTGCTCGAAATGTGAACATAATTATGAGTTTATTACTTAAAAAAATATGAAATAAGAGTGTATAAATTAATTTTAATTGTTTAGCGTATTAATTAATTAAAATTAAATAAACCTCGAGAGAGAATTTCTCGCAACAATCTTCGATAATGTATTGTTATCGATCGCTTTCGAAAACATTATTTCGATTTATTTGAGAATTTTTACGACAGCTAGTACGATTTATCTTGATGAAATATCGAGTTTTCTGCATGGGACACCGTATATATCAGGAAGGGATCTTATAACGCGCAAATTGCGCTAGAGAGAGAGAGAGAGAGAAGTAGCAAAACGGCCTTTCGGGCTTTCATGGCTCGATGACGACATCGTATTACGGAGGATAATCGGTCGCGGCCGAAGGTTTTCAGCATCGAGGATCAAGGTCGAAGGCAGGCAGTGTCGGTCGACTGGAAGCGGCGCAAAAGACGAGACTCTGTGTTAAAGTCGAGAGGAAGACAAGCGAGACCTCCTCTTTTCTCCGGTTGATGGTCGGGCCTGGGTCGACGACCCCCGCGGACATTCACCGACAACATGCGTTCGCCTCTTCTGCGTTACCGGACCGGTGAGGATCGCGCCGTGAATTTCTTAATTGACCGGCAAACATGTGCCGTGATTCGACGTAGAATAGAATACGGAATTAAAAAGCACGAGGGAAACAGTAATAAATCGTAATAACTCTCTCGCGCAGAAAAAAGAAACAGAAATTCTATTCTTATTTAGAGACGCGCGTATAAATCTTGTTCCGTAATTTATTTCCTCGCATAAAAATCTCCAAACAAAGTTCGAGAACTCATCCCATGTCGTGACAAGAGTATAAAATTAATTTCTTGTTTTTTAATTAAATGTAATTCTTGTTTTTTTTTTTTTTTATTAGCACATACATCTCGAAGCTATTGTTAATAATTTTTTTTTTTTTTTTTTTTTTTTTTTTTATTAGCACATACATCTCGAAGCTATTGTTAAATTACTTCATAATTGGTGTGCTAATCACTGGCATTTAATACATAATTCGTATTTTAAATAAAATATATTAAGTATATATATGTATAAAATATTTAAGTATATAAATATTTAAATATATAAATATTAAGACATATGTATAAACATATATTATTTTTTTGCAATTCTCTGAGAAAAAATACAAACTAAAAATAGCATGGTCACTCATTTTCTCATTTATTTCTCTTTTACACCAATTTTGACATATCCCCCCAAAAAAATTTTATATTAAAGAAAAATATAGTATAATAAGGAACATTACATTGCAAGGTGTGCAAATGGCTCATTAAGGCCAGATATTGTGCTCCAAAGTTGTCCCTTTTTTTCATTCGTACACCAAACCGTTGATCAAGGTAGCATCGTCATCGATCGAGACTTTAACTGACACGGCACCGAAGGGAACGGTCATTAAGACACTAATGGTATATCCTATCCCGGCGAGTCTGTGTTTATCTCGCCTATATTTGTTTAATAAAATCGTAATCTTATCGTCGTTCGAATGACCAGCTCCAAGCTCGAGATTATCATTTTCTCGGAGCTTAGCGGCGTGTTTCTATCTGGATCACATAGCGTATCTCATTCTAATAAATAATTATTCGCTCGATGCAATTTATTACGAAATTGTATTGAGCGCTGAAGAAATGATTCGATAAATTCTTTGAATTCTTTATTATTACGACGAACTCTTTCCTGTAATTTTATTATCGTATTGATACCTTATTTTTAAAACTGAGAATTATTTTATTCTTATCAGCATAATTTAATAGTGCAATCGGCTATCAATTTGTCATTTTATTTTCGACGATCTTTATACGATTTTTTTTTTTTAATAACCACAACATTCTTTTTTGAGGGATAAAAATTTTATTGCGAGTAAAAATCGACACTTTAATAATAATCGTCGTTTGAGAGCTTAAAATAAAAATGCTGGCTTTTTATTTCCAATTTAGATGGAACCTGAAATAGCTTTATACGAATTATTCCAACCCTTTTTATCGTCGTTCTCAAGAATGAACGAACTGAAATAAACGTTTAAATGAAAATTACAGCGATTTTGCGTAGAAATGGCGGAGTCCGCGACGTGTTGGAGACGGAAGAAAAAAAGAGGAGAGAAACTGGGTGAAGCATGTCATATCGTAGAGGAGCAGTCGATTTCGGACCCGGGGAGGGAAACAATGGCGCGATGCATTGTCGTGGGTGAGAAAGGGGATGAGTTAGACTCTCCTGGAAATGTGAGTCATCGTTGAATACGTAAGGCTTCCGCCGGCGGCTTACAAATTGGCGGCCGACAATACGGAACGTGATTCCTCCCCCGCCGTTCAAAAATACCCGTCGCGATTATCGTCGCATTTTTCGAGAAGAGCTTTGACGGAGATGAACGAGATCATTGCATTCTTAATTACAGCATTACTCTGTACGACGTATTTTAAAAGTCGTCGACGAAAATTTTTATCGCTTACGATCTTAAATTAATTTAATTACTCTTAGGAAATATTTAAATTTATACAAATATTTTCTCGTCACGTTCGAAATTAAACCCGAGTTTCTCGGAGATATAGATCGCGCAGAATTGCAAGAAAACGAGAGAAATATCATTTAAATTAAATGCGAATAGGTAAAATAAAATTATTAAAAGTCCAACAAAAATATGTTCATAATTTTGATAAAGTAAAAAAAAATATTAAAAATAAAAATCTGATCTGTCTTTATATAATAACAAGAAATAAAAATTAAAAAAAAAAAATTGTTACAAAATTTAAAAGAAGTAAAGAGTAGGATGAATGTTAAATCAATAAATTATGTGACAAAATTATTGATTTATCGGTTCTTACATGAATAAATAAATAAATAAATAAAAAAATTGCGAAAAGGTTATATGTAAGTCTTCGATTAATGACTATCATTCTTGGAATAATTGATAACAACTCTGAGCGGAGTCAGCAACATACCACAAGGTGCGAATCACACATCAAATGATACTCGACTTGAGGCCCTTAGCAACTGACAGCGCATTGAAAGTGTAGTGTACGTCATTAATTTTAATAGATGCCAAGTTGCCGCGAAGGACTTTCCAAGCGAAAGATTCATAGTTGATTACGTAGTCAGAACAGTGAGAGAAAAGAGAGAGAGAGAGAGAGAGAGAGAAAAACTCAGTTAAAATATATAAATTCCCTCGTTGCACTATCAGGGTATCATTGTCCTGCGATAATGAATAGACCATCGACTTTTCTCTTACACTCATCAGTATCCCGGATAGACTTTCACTGATCCTACGATAGTCTACTTATTATCCTTGTTGAATTACTATTCGCACCCTCTTTCAGACAGTGCAAGAAATCGCATTATGTCGAACACGAGTCGGTGTGGTTTCCGCGATTTTTTATTGTCACACGGACATCGCGCGAGCTTTCTTTCGTCGATTGTAAAATTCTATTTTATACTACAAAATAAATAAATAATAATTTAAAAAAAAAAAAAGTTGCTTCCAGATTGAAAACAAAAAACCTTTCTTCAAAATTGATCGATTCATCGATCAATTTTCAATCTCTTCTCAATTCCACCTCTCATCGACCACATTTTTGTTTGCCTTTCTTTATTTCCGTTTCATTTCTTTATCCAATTATCTGTTATCAGTGCCAAACAAAATTATTATAACGCTATTTATGCTGAAATGCAAAAGAGCAGAGTTTCTCGCCTTGATATCTGGCAGCAGTCAGCTGATTGGCTTTTAACTAGCGACTTACGAAAAAGCGTAACGCGATCAATGATATAGGAAGGATTAGATAAGAGATATTCCGCATTGTTAAATTCCTCGCGAGCCATCCTCGCGAAAACGTGTTTGAGAACGACGTAGGGTTCAATGACCCTCTCTGCGCTCGCCTCCGTCGCGCGTTTGCCTTTCATAACCATGTGCTTTAATATTTATCACCGATTCATCTATCGTTGCGCGTGTATATCTCGGGAACGTCGAACGATTCGATTCCTATCGGCTATCGATTCGCCGCTTTCCATTTGACGATCTTTACCGCTACATGACGTCCATTACTGGGACAGAAAAGTCGCGTGTATTTTATTACGAATAAAATACACGACTTTTATTTTTTTTATACGGTATATATAAATAATTTTCCTTTTAAATTTCAAAAATTTATGGAGATGTTAGCTTTCCATAATTTTATACTTCTTCCATTTCCTTTTAAAAATAACGGATTTAAAATCATCGGCTTAAAAGTAAGCTATTCCATAATAGGTAGACTTTTTTATTTAAAATCATATAATCAAGTGTTTCCTGGCGTATTTTCCTTTCTCATTAGTTATTAGCATGCTGGTGTTCCAGTAAAAAAAATAAACATGTGAATCACACTTCAGTTGGGAGATCAGTTCATTAACGCTCTATATAACAGAGTGTCACAGTTATTTAGAGATAGGGTCATCAACGGCGCGCGCATAATACAGGTATTGTCACTAATCTCGTATCCGCGAGAGTACGTATCCATCGCTTCATCTTATCGCACTGCATTGTTACAATCGCGAAAATCAGTAATAATAAAGCGGATGTTCCGCGTGCAATAGAAACCATGATAAGGTAACAGTAGATTTAATAATAATGAACACAATAATATTTGATGTTTGATGTAAACTAATTTTTTAATTTATACTTGATAGAAACTGAAACTTTATATGTATAA